AGTCCAGGACCAAGATGGCTTCACTGGTGAATTTTTCCAAATTCAACAATTTAATACCTATACTTCTCAAATGCTTCCAAAAAATTGAAGAAGATGGAATGCTTCCAAACAAATTTTACAAGGCCAGCATTACCATGATACCAAAACCAGACAAAGGACACCACAAAAAAAGAAAATTATAGGCCAATATCCTTGATAAATATAGACACAAAAATCCTCAACAAAATATTAATAAACTGAATTCAACAATACATTAAAAGGATCATACACCATGATCCAGTGGGATTCATTTCAGGATGCAAGTATGGTTCAAAATCTACAAGTCAATCAACTTGATACACAACATTAACAAAATTAAGGATAAGAATCATATGATCATCTAAGATGCAGAAAAAGCATTTGACAAAATTCAACATCCATTCTTGATAAAAACGCTCAACAAAGTGGGTATAGAGGGAACATACCTCAACATAAGAAAGGCCATATATGACAAGCCCACAGCAAACATCATTGTCAATGGTGAAAAACTGAAAGCTTTTCCTCTAAGATCAGGAACAAGACAAGGATGCCCACTCTTGTCATTTTTATTTAACATAGTCCTGGGAGTCCTAGCCAGAGCAATTAGGCAAGAAAAATAAAGGGTACCCAAATCAGAAAGGAAGAGTAAAACTGTCTTTATTTTCAAATGACATGGTATTATACATAGGAAATCCTAAAGTTTAAAGACTTCACAAAAAAAAACTGTTAGAACCAATAAATTCAGTAAAGTTCAGGATACAAAATCAATGTACAAGAATCAGTTGTGTTTTTCTACACTAACAACAAACTACAAGAGAAATTTTAAAAAGTCTTATTTACAATTGCATCAAAAGAACAAAATGCCTACAAATATATATATATATATATATATATATATATATATATATATATATATATCTCCAAGGATGTGAAAGACCTGTACACTGAATACTACAAGACACTGATGAAAGAAACTGAAGAAGTCACAAATAAATAGAAAGATATTCTGTGTTCATGGATCAGAAGAATTAATATTGCTAAAATGTTCATACTAACCAAAGCAATCTACAGATTAAATGCAATCCCTATCAAAATTCCAATGGCATTTTTCACAGACATAGAACAAATAATTCTAAAATCTGACCCTTAATAGACAAAGCAATGCTGAGAAAGAAGAACAAAGTTTCAGGCATCACACTTCCTGATTTCAAAATATATTACAAAGCAGTAGTATCAAAACAATATGGTAGTGACTTCCCTGGTGGCACAGTGGTTAGGAATCTGCCTGCCAACTCAGGAGACAGGGGTTTGATCCCTGGTCTGGGAAGATCCCATATGCTGTGGAGCGACTAAGCCCATGTGCTACAACTACTGAGCCTGTGCTCTAGAACCCACGAGCCACAACTACTGAGCCTGTGTGCCACAACTACTGAATCCTACATGCTCTAGGGCCCATGTGTGACAACTACTGAGCCCGCATGCTGCAACTACTGAAGCCCGCGTGCCTAGAGCCTGTGTTCCGCAACAAAAGAAGCCACCGCAATGAGAAGCCCACACACTGCAACGAAGAGTAGCCCCCGGGGCTTCCCTGGTGGCGCAGTGGTTGAGGGTCCGCCTGCCGATGTAGGGGACACGGGTTTGTGCCCTGGTCTGGGAAGATCCCACATGCCGTGGAGCGGCTGGGCCCGTAAGCCATGGCCGCTGAGCCTGCGCATCTGGAGCCTGTGCTCCGCAGGGGGGGAGGCCAAAAAAAGAGAGGGCCCCACGCCCCCCAAAAAAAAAAAAAAAAAAAGAGTAGCCTCCGCTCACTGCAACTAGAGAAAGCCCGCACGCAGCAACGAAGATCCAAGGCCACCACAAATAAATAAATAAATAAATTTATTAAAAAAACAGTACGGTATTGGCATTTAAAACAGACACATAGATCAATGGAACAAAGCAAAGTACCCAGAAATAAACCCATACATGTATGACAAATTAATTTACAACAAACAAACAAGAATATGCAATGGGTAAAGGATAGTCTCTTCAATAAACAGTGTTAGAAAAAGCGACAACTACATGCAAAAGAACGAAACTGGACCCCTATCTTACATCCTACACAAATATCAAATCAAACTGGAGTAAATACTCAAACATAAGACATGAAACCAGAAAACTCCTAGACGCAAACATGGGGTAAGCTCCCTGACATCAGTCTTGGCAGTGCTTGTTTAGATTTGATACCAAAAGCAAAACTAAACAAGTGGGACTACATCAAACTAAGAAGCTTCTGTACAGCAAAGGAAACCATAAACAAAATGAAAAGGCAACCTACCAAATGGCAGAAAACATTTGCAAACTATACATCTGACAAGAGGTTAATATCCAAAATATATAAAGAACTCATACAACTCAATAGCAATCCCCCCAAAAAAAACAAAACCCCAATTTGATTAAAAAATAGGCAGAGGAGCTGAATAGACAGCTTCCAGTGCAGACATATGTAAGGCCAACAGGTGTATGAAAAGGTGTTCAATTGTCACTAATTGTTAGGGAAATGCAAATCAACACCATAACGAGCTATCACCTCACACCTGTTAGAAGGGCATCATCAAAAAGACAGATAACAAGCATTGGCAAGGGTTTGGAGAAAGGGGAACCCTTGTGTTCTACAGGTGAGAATGTAAATTGGTGCAGCCACTATGGAAAACAGTATGGAGGTTCCTCAAAATATTAAAAATAGAACTACCATATGATCCAGCAATCCCACTGTGGGTACTTATCCGAAGGAAACAAAATCTCTATCTTATACATCAAAAGATATATGCACCCTCATGTTCATAGCAGCGTTACTGACAATAGCCAAGACATAGAAACAACCTGTGCATCCACTGACAGGTGAGTAGATAAAGAAGTTTAGGCATGCACGCACGTGGTGGAATATTACTCAGCAATAAAAAAGAAGAAAATCTTGCCATTTGTGAAAACATGGATGGACCCTGAAAGCATTATGCTAAGTGAAAAAATCAGACAGAGAAAGACAAATACTATATAATTTCATTTATATGTAGAATCTAAACAAAAGACTAATTCATACATACAGAGAACAAATTGGTGGTTGCCAGAGTAGGGGGATGGGGGGTGAAATGAGAGCAAGGTGTCAAAAGATACAAACTTCCACTTATAAGATAAATAAGGCCCAGGGATATAATGTGATATATGGTGACTATAGTTAACAGTAGTGTACTATATATCTGAAAGTTGCTAAGAGAATAAATCCTAAAAGTTCTCATCACAAGAAAAAAATCTGTAACTATATGTGGTGATAGATGTTAGCTAAACTGATTGTGGTGATCATTTCCCAATATATACATATATCAAATCATTGTGTTGTACACCTAAACCTAATATAATGTTATATGCCAATTATATCTCTATTAAAAAAAAGAATCCATAAAATAAATAAAAATCACCAGAGGACACACCAACGGTTCTATTAAACTAGAAGGTGACGTTGTCACCTGGCTACCTTGGGCTGCTCATTGCAACAGTCAAAGAAAAAGGGTCACTGTCTGGTCAGAGTGACTGACTTTGCTGAAGAGGAATTGGGTTCCTATGGCACAATGAGGGTAAGGAGTAGTATGTCTCAAATGCAGATCTTTGGGGGTACCTCTTAGAACTCCTGTGGTCTCTGATACATTTTATAATTAATTGTTTCACTCTGATAAATGATAAAATGTACAGGGTTCTTTTGCTCAGGAGGAGCTCATTGTAAACACAGGGCCAGAAGTCTGAAAGAAAACAAGGCTATATGTTTAAGATTAGTGGTGTTTATTTTTGTTTATGTCTTAATTCTTTTGTATGTTTAAGGGTAAAAACAAGGATAGATACAGAGATATTTGAAGTTATGAGAATATATCAATCAGCAAAAGTTATCTGAAATTTAAGTCTCACAAATAAGCAGAAAATATTATTTCTGGCAGACTATATATGGTGTTAATTCTTTGAACCGTATTAAGAACAATTTCAATCAGCTGAAATTTATGGTACAAGGCAAGGAATGGGAGCTACTAGCTACGTAACTTCGGCAAATTACTTAACATCTCTGAAACTCTTTCCCAATCTGTAAAATGAGGGCACGTGCTAGTTAGGTAAGACGCTTTGTAAGTGGGAGTTCAGAGAAAAGTCAGTTTTCTTCTCCTAACCCAGAGTTTCTCAACTTCAGCAATACTGACATTTCAGGCCAGGTAATTCTTTATTGTGGGGAGCTGTCCTTTGTATTGTAAAACATGTCGCAGCATGCCTGATCTCTACCCATATCTACCCTCTATCATCTGGAGAGATGCCAGTAACACCTCTCTCCCAGACTTGAGGTTGAAAATGACCACACATTGCCAACTGCCTCCTGGAAGGCAAAATCGCCGCAGCTGAGAATCATTGTCCTAACCCCCGTGTTCATCCAAAAAGGATCTGAGCGAGAAATAAAACGTAGTCTCAGAGTAGAATGCAGGGGTCCCACCTCACAGAGGCAGGATGTGTGACGCAGAAAACTGGGGATGAGGAGATTCGAGCCTCCAGCGAGTAGCTGAAGTCCTAATCAGTGAAAGAACTGACTACGAAGGGAAGGTGCAACGAGGGGCAAACGAAGAGGGAAGAGGCCGAGACTCTGGTCTCTGGGAACCAAAGATGCACACACTAGTCACCACTTACAGTGCTTAGCTGACTCCGAGGCAGAATTATGTCCAGTTAAACCGAGACGCTGAGGCCGTGGCGGAAGCCTTAGGGAGCGAGGAGCGGGTGCCGCGCGGTGCCAGGACTCATTGCCGGCACGCCTGCCTGGTGGAGTCCCTACGACGTCTCCGCCGCCGCCTCACGTGCGGACGCCGGCCGCAGGCCCCGCCCCCGCCCGGCCCCCAGGCTCTCGACCCCGCCTCCGCCCGCAGTTGCCTCCTCCGCCTGCAAGCGGCCTACGTAAGCAGGCAGGGGCGGGCTGGAGGTGTCGGTTCTGCCACGTCCTCGCGGCGGCTCGCGGAGCGGCGGCCTTGCGGGAGACTGTAGAGCCGGAGGTGGAGGACGTGGGGCTGCCGCTGAAGCCGGATGTGGATCTAGGGCTGTGTACCCGGGTGGGTGAGAATCCGACGGTCCTGGAGAGGAGCGCCGACTGCAGGTCTCTACGGGTGAGGGGGACCGGGGGTCGGGGAGAGAGAGCGGGGCCCGGCCGGATGCCCTGGGTGCCGGCTGGGGCCTGCCCTTCAGGTTTATCAAACAGGTGTGACTGCTACCCCCCGGGCGAGGCGGGCTAGGCCCGGTCCGGGGCGGGGGGAGGTTCCGTTCGGGGAGCCGGGCATTTATCTTCGCCAGCTGGGTGCGTATGAGGGCGTAGAGGGCAGTTTGGAGCAAGTTGAGCGGACACACGTGTGGAGCAGAGGTTAGGGATGATGGCCAGTGGTCCAGCCGTGCAGGAGGTGGCCCTAGCAGGCAGGAACAGAGACTGAGGTCGAAACTAATTTTTCGTTCGTCAGGCTTTAGCGTGGGGGATTGGACAGTTGTTCACAGTCTCTGCCGCCATCGGTTTTGAAACGGGCACGAACGCCTCTGGCCCTGTTTTCCACCGTTCCTTTCCGCGTAGCACCCCACGGCGGTCAGGAGCCACTTGAGGACATGATTCTGCTCCGAAGATCACCTGCACTGACTAAATCGGGGTTTTCACCACAGGAAAGACGGACATCCTTTGTCTCTTCCGGGGGCTTCTACCCCTAGAAACACTGAGTACTGTGATTTCTCTTATAGGAGCTGTTTATGTAAATCGAACTCTTAAAATTTCATAAAAAATTGAAGGGCGACTATAGTTTTGTTAGGATATACACTCGTGAATAAATCCTAGAATGGACCTCAAGAAATCATTTAGGTCAGTTTCATTAGGCAGGATTCACTGACATTTTTTAGAATAGGGGAGACACCTCCCTGTCTGGCACGATGATGTAAATATTGGCTTCTATTGAGTATGGTACTGTAGAGCTCAAGACGGGAGAACAACATCGGAGGATTTAGTCCCAATTCACTCATTGGCTGTGTTACCTTGGGGTCAAGTACTGAAAGCTCCACGTGCTCCAGCTTGCTCAGGGGTAGACTGGGAATAATGCCTAAATCACAGGGATCAAATAAACTATCAGGAAATTTAAAAATTCTCAACTGAAGTGTAATTGAATAATTTAATAAATATAGCTAGGCCTATTAAAATCATCACCGAATGAAGTGTTCTTTAGATTCACAATTCAGTCAAATTACTATTGAAATAGTTATAAAATGTATGTAGACGAACCCCAAAGTCTCAAACAGCACACGGGCCCCCTTCCTGCTTTAACCATGTACTGAAGTCATACAGTAATGCCCTGAAAGCTCTTGAGATATGTAAAGTCCATTTAGATTTGAACTTAGATTGTTTTTTTTAATTTTTATATCAACTTTTGAAATCTTCATTCCCAGTATCTTATTACTTGTTGCTCTCAGTTGCTTGATTCTAGCAGCAGCTCCTCCCCATGTATATTCTAGTGCACTATAGATGCTGAGAAACCTGTTGAAACTGTGTCCAAAGAATGGTCAACCGACTGAAAACCTGATGTGATCTTAGTAAAAATGAATTTGGTGTATGGTTTTTGTGATATCACTTGTAGCAGTTTGTTAATCTTTTTTTCTTCTAGATATTCTGAAATGTGATCTCCAGATAAGTCTTATACCATTCGTTATTCATTCACTAGGCATTTATTGGGCTAAGGTTAGGCATATATGGGCCTTTAAATGCTTGTTAACTTAGTAGTTAAACAGAAAAGGTACTTGAGAAATACTTAAGAAGGGTTAGGGTTTACTTTTTAAAATTAATCTAAAATCTTCAAAATAAGACCCCAATGAGGGAATTCCCTGGCGGTCCAGTGGTTAAGACTCGGCACTTTCACTGCTGTAGGCCCAGGTTAGATCCCTGGTTGGGGAACTAAGATCCCACAAGCAGCATGGCCAAAAAAAGCAAAACCAAAAGAAACAAAACAAAATAAGACCCCAATGATAATGGTGAAATTCAGCTTCAAACAACTGTGCGTTTCTGTTTACTGAAATTTCCTATATTGTGGTACCTGCGGGCACTTTAAGATGCTGAAAATTATTTCTTTTGTAAACCAAATAAATTTACCTGTTTTGCTCTTTTATAAATGCTTTTGAAATTTAGTATCAAGTCACATCTTACTTTAACTTGCCCAGCATATTAATTGGGCACCAGCAGAATTTACTGTATGGGGACAGAATAAGATAAAAGAAGGTAACCTTAAGTATGGCTCTGTTTTGTAAAATAGCTCATATAAACGTTTTGATATTAATTTTTTTAAAGATTTTTTTGATGTGGACCATTTTTAAAGTCTTTATTGAATTTGTTACAATATTGCTTCTGTTCTATGTTCTGGTTTTTTGGCCACGAGGCATGTGGGATCTTAGCTCCCCAACCAGGGATCAAACCTGCACCCCCTGCGATGGGAGGCTAAGTCTTAACCGCTGGACTGCCAGGGAAGTCCATTGATGTTAATTTTTGATTGCCATAAGAATATGGATTCTTATTTCTATCCAGAATGCATTAAGTACTTTAACTAGCCTGAAATTCTTACTTTCCAAATATAAGTGCTGCTTTGACTAAATTTTAAACTCTTGTGCAATAAAGTAGAGAATTCACCTTCACTAGTGCCTCTTCCGTACTACAGAGTATAGAGTCTGGAGTCATGCAGGAATCGTTGCATAATTTGTGGCAACATTAACAATTTTGACAGTGGCAGCAGAGAATTAAGTGTGGGGCCCTGTGTCCTTGAAGCTGGCCCTGCTACCTGGTTGCAAATCCTCACTGTTCCTTATTTGCTCTGTTACCTTGAGCTAGTTACTGTGCCTGCTTTCTAGTCTGATAGATTTTTCATTGTATTTTCATTTGTATATAAAGTACTCAATAAATATTAGCCAGTATCATTTATTTTTATCATTCATGGCATAAGACCATCGATTAAAGAAAAGCACAGGAAAATATTAGTATTTACTGTTTAAAATTCTTTAAAGGCTTCATAATCCTAATTCTTCTCCTGTGTACCTCTCCCCTCTCTCTCAGAAATTATTAACCCTATTTTGCGAGTTTTCTAGGCACATTTCATTGTAAACTCAGGCAACTTTATAGGAAGAAGAAATCTAGTTAACTTTAAATTATCTTAATGTCCATCCACATTTCCTTTTGAGCTTTCTTTAAACTTCATGCTTACAACTGTATGTTAAATAGCATGAACATCAAAATGTTTAAATGGTATGTTGTCTTGAAGAACTTAAATTTGTAATACTTTCTGACTTCTGCACTTAATGTACACATTTTACTTTATTGATAAATAGTTAGCCTGTTTATCTGTATACCTGAAAAACAATTTTGTTATCCATCTTTCAGATTAGAGTACTCTCAAAAGCCTCAGGGGTCAATTATCAGGGACAAATACTAAAGTGCATGCACTAAAATTAATCTACAAAAAAATCTGTTTCAAGTGGACCATAAGCTTGTTAAATTTTATGAATGATTGTTTTAATCATCACAATTTCCTTTCATTACTATTCTTAGATCCAGGCATAGTTTTTACAGCATAACATGATCTGAGTCCTTTTTGAGGGAAAGAAAACAAACCTCTCAGTATTCTACATAGTAACTATTATTTTTAAAGTTCTTTCCTTTCTAAGAATGCTAACTTTCAGTTTAACATAAACATAATAGATCATCTTTTTGTAGCTCCTGTACCCAGCACAGTGCCTGACTCACGAATTAATTTAAAGGTGAACAAAGTTAACAAGAACGTATAAAAATAAATTTTAAATTAGTTGCTAACTGAAGTATCAATGTATCTTGTTGAACACTTGCCCTGTGCCAGGCACTGCTAGGTACTTGTATACAGTAATTCATTTCTTCTAACAATTTCATCTCCATTTTACAAATGAGGAAACATTCTCAGTTTAACTTCCTTAGCCATCATCACACAGTTGATGTTTGAACACCAGGTCTGACTCCAGAGCTCATGCTCTTTCCATGTCTAGGTTTCAATTTCAGCTTTGCTAATTCTGTGACCTTGGGCAAGTTACTTAACTTGTCTACACCTGCATTTCCTCAGCTGTTGAAATGGAGATAATAATCATCCCTACCCTGTAGGATTGTTATAGTAAGTGAATTAGTAATGTGTAAAGTTCTTTGAACAATGCTGGCACATAAGTGCTGAACAAATGATAACTTCTATTATTACATCACAGTACCTTCCCAAAGCCTCTGCTATACTGCAGCAGAGTATATATATATATTACCTATATATAATAGTTACATAGGGTTATACAGTTCAGTCGACCTTTAAGGAAAACTTAAGAATAGTTGCCCTTAAGCATATTGTGACTTATGAAATAGGGAACATCTGGGAGTTGGGTTATTGGGGAAATTGATCTGTTATTAAATGGACTTTAATTTTTCTGGCATTGCTTTTTTGTTTTATGGTAGTATGTTATGGATATATATCTTTAAATTCTTTGTTTCAAAGAAGTACAGGCAGGTATCAAATAGAATACAGTTGACCCTTAACAACACGGGTTTGAACTGCAAGGATCCACTTACATACACATTTTTTTCAACAGTAAATATTACAGTACTACACATTCCAAGGTTGGTTAAATCCACGGATATGGAACTGCAGATACAGAGGGCTGACTATAAGTTATACATGATTTTTCGACTGCGCATTTTTGACTGTGTGGAGGATTGGCACCCTAAACCCATGTTGTTCAAGGGTCAACTATGGTTTCTTTAGCTGGGCATGGGCTTACAAATCAAAGTTCAGGGTTGCCTTACAATCTCCTAATAATTGTTAGAAAGACTTTCCTCCAGCAGCTCTGTTCCACAGAAGTGTGCCCCACCAGCCTTTTTTTTCTCTTTTTGGCTGCGTTGGGTCTTCATTGCTGCGTGCGGTCTTTCTCTAGTTGCGGCGAGCGTGGGCTACTCTTTGTTGTGGTGTGCAGGCTTCTCACTGCAGTGGCTTCTCTTGTTGCGGAGCACGGGCTCTAGGCGCACGGGCTTCAGTAGGTGTGGCTCGCGTGCTCTAGAGCGCAGACTCAGTAGTTGTGGCACATGGGCTTAGTTGCTTCGTGGCATGTGGAATCTTCCCGGACCAGGGCTTGAACCTGTGTCCCCTGCATTGGCAGGCAGATTCTTAACCACTGCGCCACCAGGGAAGCACCGCCCCCCCCCAGCCATTTTTATGCTTCATATGTTTTTCATTCTTTCTATCATTATATCTTATTTAAGTCTCAGTTGTTTTTTTTTTTTTAATATTTATTTATTTATTTATTTTTGGCTGTGTTGGGTCTTCATTTCTGTGCGAGAGCTTTCTCTAGTTGTGGCAAGTGGGGGCCACTCTTCATCGCGGTGCACGGGCCTCTCACTATCACGGCCTCTTGTTGCGGAGCACACGCTCCAGACGCGCAGGCTCAGCAGTTGTGGCTCACGGTCCTGGTTGCTCCACGGCATGTGGGATCTTCCCGGACCGGGGCACGAACCCGTGTCCCCTGCATCGGCAGGCGGACTCTCAACCACTGCGCCACCAGGGAAGCCCAAGTCTCAGTTTTATTAGACCACACCTAATAAGAACCTGACCATTTCTGAATGTTCAAAAGAGAGGAAAATACCGTAATTGATCATTTTTCAATAGTATGAAAAACACTGGCTATTTTTTTTAACATCTTTATTGGAGTATAATTGCTTTACAGTGGTGTGTTAGTTTCTGCATTATAACAAAGTGAATCAGTTATACATATACATATATCCCCATCTCTTCCCTCTTGCATCTCCCTTCCTCCCACCCTCCCTATCCCACCGCTCTAGGTGGTCGCAAAACACCGAGTGATCTCCCTGTGCTATGCACCTGCTTCCCACTAGCTATTTTACATTTGGTAGTGTATATATGTCCATGCCACTCTCTCACTTTGTCCCAGTTTACCCTTCCCCCTCCCCGTATCCTCAAGTCCATTCTCTAGTAGGTCTGCATCTTTATTCCCGTCTTGTCCCTAGGTTCATGACCTTTTTTTTGTTTGTTTTTTAGATTCCATATATATGTGTTAGCATACAGTATTTTTCTCTTTCTGACTTACCTCACTCTGTATGACAGACTCTAGGTCCATCCACCTCACTACAAATAACTCAATTTCGTTTCTTTTTATGGCTGAGTAATATTCCATTGTATGCATGTGCCACATCTTCTCTATCCATTTATCTGTTGATGGGCACTTAGTTTGCTTTCATGTATTGGCTATTGTAAATAGAGCTGCAGTGAACATTGTGGTACACGACTCTTTCTGAATTATGGTTTTAGCAGGGTATATGCCCCGTAGTAGGATTGCTGGGTCGTATGGTAGTTCTATTTTTAGTTTTTTAAGGAACCTCCATACTGTTCTCCATAGTGGCTGTATCAATTCACATTCCCACCAGCAGTGCAAGAGGGTTCCCTTTTCTCCACACCCTCTCCAGCATTTATTGTTTCTAGATTTTTTGATGATGGCCATTCTGACCAGTGTGAGATATCTCATTGTAGTTTTGATTTGCATTTCTCTAATGATTAATGATGTTGAGCATTCTTTCATGTGTTTGTTGGCAATCTGTATATCTATTTAGGGCTTCTGCCCATTTTTGGATTGGGTTATTTTTTTGATATTGAGCTGCATGAGCTGCTTGTAAATTTTGGAGATTAATCCTTTGTCAGTTGCTTCATTTGCAAGTATTTTCTCCCATTATGAGGGTTGTCTTTTCATCTTGTTTCTGGTTTCCTTTGCCGTGCAAAAGGTTTTAAGTTTCATTAGGTCCCATTTGTTTATTTTTGTTTTTATTTCCATTTCTCTTGGAGGTGGGTCAAAAAGGATCTTGCTGTGATTTATGTCAGAGTGTTCTGCCTGTGTTTTCCTCTAAGAGTTTGATAGCATCTGGCCTTACATTTAGGTCTTTAATCCATTTTGAGTTTATTTTTGTGTATGGTGTTAGGGAGTGTTCTAATTTCATTCTTTTACATGTAGCTCTCCAGTTTTCCCAGCACCACTTATTGAAGAGGCTATCTTTTCTCCATTGTATATTCTTGCCTCCTTTATCAAAGATAAGGTGACCATATGTGTGTGGGTTTATCTCTGGGCTTTCTATCCTGTTCCATTGATCTATATTTCTGTTTTTGTGACACTGGCTATTCTTAAGCTGCTTAGATGTAGCTGAGAAACTTACAGATTTTTAGAAAGACTGCTGTGAAAACAAAATCCAGTAGATAGTCTTGGTGTGAATCCGTCATAGCTGAGACCAAATATTCCAGTGAATGCAGAGAATTTTCTGTTCATGGTTAATAATTTTTAAAAAAAGTTACACGCCCAGTAAGTCTTCTTTAGTGTCAGGTAAAAAACTGATGAGTTACTCCTTAGCCCAATAATAAAATTAAATAATGTAAAAAAAAAAAAAAAACGAGCTCCTGAAAAGTCAGCTATTCACAGTGCTACACTAGTAGCACTGACCCAGAGGAAAAAATGCTTTAAAGGTCCTATTAGAAAATGGAGTTTTCAAGTGTAAAACTTCTAAATTTAGTTACTTGTTTACTGTCTGATAGAATCTGTGAGTTTTCTATAGAGCTCTAGCTGTGGCATTTGATGTTAGAGTCAGGATAGGCTAAAATAAAATATCTTGCATACCTGTTAAAGAATTTTTCTAATTGCATTAATTTTTATTAAGAAATTGACATTCTTGGGCTTCCCTGGTGGCGCAGTGGTTGAGAGTCCGCCTGCTGATGCAGGGGACACGGGTTCGTGCCCTGGTCCGGGAGGATCCCACGTGCTGCAGAGCGGCTGGGCCCGTGAGCCATGGCCGCTGGGTGCGCGTCCGGAGCCTGTGCTCCGCAACGGGAGAGGCCACAGGGGTGAGAGGCCCGCGTACCGCAAAAAAAAAAAAAAAAGAAAGAAATTGACATTCTTGACAATCAACAATCTTCTATTAAACAAAATGGCTTAACATTTAAAATTTTATTTTAGACCTCACTGCAAAGATGAAACCTGATGAAACGCCTATGTTTGACCCAAGTCTACTCAAAGAAGTGGACTGGAGTCAGAATACAGCTACATTTTCTCCAGCCATTTCCCCAACACATCCTGGAGAAGGTTTGGTTTTGAGGCCTCTTTGTACTGCTGATTTAAATAGAGGTATGGACTCAGTTTACAAATTCCGGTTAGACTTATAGTTAGCATTCTGTGTTCTCCACAAACACGATGATGATGCCTATAATTTTTAAAAATACTATTGGACTTTTATATTATTCTTTGTGCTTAAATTTCAAAGTGACTGAGAACTCAATTCCAATGTGTACAGACCAGATGTTACTGTATTACAGTACTGTATTACAGTATTTCAAATGACTTAAGTACAACAGTGTTCCTTCCTAATTAAGCAGCCAAAAAGGGGAAATTATCTTGTATAATGACACGTAAGGAAGAATCTTCTCTAAGAAGCTGGATGGGGAATGAGGATAAAGATAATTTGCCTTGGATAAGTTGCAAAAGGTTTTGTCTACATGTATTCCTTTTTTTAACATCTAAATTCTCCAAAATGATTTCCTTAAATTTCAGTAATCAAAAATCAACTTTTTACAGTTTTCTTCTTGGTAGGAAATCTTAAGAAACTATTATATTTTGGTCATATTAATTATTGGGTGTATAGAAGTTAAGATTCTCAACATTCTATGCTATTCACATTAATTTAAAGTAACATTAATGAAATTAATCAGGAATCTTTAAAAACTGTAGTCTCAACAATGTTATTTATATTTTATTTTATAAATAGTATCATATTTGGTCATAATGAGAATCTTGCATTTTTAAGTAAAACCAAAGCACATATTTGGGAAAATTCGGCATCCCTTGTGTTGAATGTAATGCAAATTACATTGAAAACTGTACATGCTGGTTCTGTAAATATTGAGTATTAAGGTCAGCACTATTCCAAAAATGTTATGCAGGCAAAAACATTGGTAAAACCTACTACTATTTGTTTTACGTAGTGATAATAGAAAGAATAATGGGTTTCAGTTTAATATTTTAAAATAGTTCATTACATAAAGTTTTGAAAAAATAATTGCTCACCAGCTTGACACATTACTTCTTTTGATATATATTTCATTTGCTGTTCTCATGACTTGAAATCTGTTTTTCAAAACTAGGTTTTTTTAAGGTACTAGGTCAGCTGACAGAGACTGGAGTTGTCAACCCGGAACAATTTATGAGTAAGTCCTACAGTCTCTTTTTCCTGAAGGAAAAGAAATAAAGGGAAACAAGATTTTATTTTTGTTTAGAGCTCTATTCAGTGTCTACTTGTGGTTTTGTTCAAATAGCTCAAAATTATTCAAATAACAAATTAGCTGTTTTCTTATTTAAATGTTTAATGTAGCTGAACTGTTTTAGAATCCAATTGTAGCAACTACCATGTTTTACAAAATACCTGGCTACTTTTAGATCATTACTGTAGCACAGAGCCTGTGTGGCAACCTTAGAGAGTGTTTTTTATTGTAGTGTTTACCTTCATGTGGTTAGGTCATTTCACAGAAATTTCATCACCCAATCAAAAATGTAAGAAAATATGTTCTAAATTTATTTTTTGGTTCATTTATATTGAATTTTAAGGTTGGCAGGTATCTTTTATATTGGCAGGTTGGCAGGTTCATTTATATTGAATTTTAAGGTTGGAGGTATCATCCCTCCCCCTTTTTAATACATATGAGAGGATGGAAATTAAAAGAGAGGTCAAATGACTTCCCAAGATCACAGGAAGTTATTGGTAAGAAAAGAACTACAACCTTCCTGACTCCATCCAATGCTCTTAACAGTGTCTTCCTATTTTCTTCATTTCCTTCAATAGGTAATTTTATTTTGTACTCTATATGACCTTCCTGAGATGAAGATTATTATTTCCTGATCCTCATTGTTTCTTTTCCTTCATTGAATTTATTTCTTCCCACTCCAGACCCATTACTAGAACAAGACTGTGGAAATAAACAGTATGTTGAGACTGTTAGGCTCAGTTTTTATTCTTGAATTCTTCTTTGCAGGCATATCAGATTAGATGAAAAATCATGTTATTTCATCAATATAAGTACTAAAAGTCAATTTGAGGGGAAGATATTTATTCCACTTTTGCTCCTGTTTGCTATGTGGCTTTGGGAAAAGCTGGGAAATGAAGACTTACTTTTTTATCTACTTCACAAGGTGCTTTCAAAGCAAACAAAAATGATGACTCTATTTCTAAAACAGGTCATGTAATCATGGAACACTTGAGAGCACAAAGGGAAAATTGAAAACTACTTTGTCAAGTTATTTTAAAATCAAAAGACTAAAAATTAAAGAATGGAGACACATAAACATTCTCTTATTAAAATTTGCAAAGAGTTTTGTTCTGTGTGAATATCTGTTAAGTGAAAACGTTAATCAATTTAAAGTTAACTAGTAATGAAGATATAAAAGTTTTCATACACTAATCACAGAAATGGCAACATGTACAATTTATTTGTATTTTAAGTGCTGTTCATCTAAAATAGCTATCTTAGTCTTACCTTATTTTGCTAGAAGAGTTTTTAAATGTATGGACTATGTCCCAGTTGATATTGATTGCTGATATTTCAACTACTTGGTCATTTTTAATAATTGATATTTTCTTTAAAATTACTGTGGTAAAATAGCTATAAATATTCAATAATATTTACTGAAGTAAGCTAATTCTAGTATTTTTCTGGCACCTAATAAAGTTTAATGTCTGCCACATAACACTATTTTCCAATTTCCACAGAATCTTTTGAGCACATGAAGAAATCTGGGGATTATTATGTTACAGTTGTGGAAGATGTAACTTTAGGACAGATAGTTGCTACAGCAACTCTGATAATAGAACATAAATTCATCCATTCCTGTGCTAAGGTATGTGTTCATATTAATGCTTATGAGTAAAATGGATATGTGTTTTCTAGCAAAATCGACTTTGAGTTACCATTAGACAAGTCTGTTTTCCCACTGCTTTTTATTGTAAAATGAGAGAGCTAAATATTGGCTAGAATAAAAGTTTTGCTTCTTAGAAATCACTTAGTAACAGTCAATTTCCCATTGTCTTCTAAGAGTTATGAGGAAGAAAATGTGTTAATAATATGAATTGTTTGCTAAAAATTGTTCTGTAAGGTGTAGAATTGGTATAGACAAAGAGAAATCGAGTCAGCATCGTGGAATTTGGCAGTAATGTTTGGAATCTCTAATGCTAATTTTTATTCAAAAACAATACTTTGAATATACTACACTAACACAAATTCCCATCAGTTTCCCAGTGGTAAAGGGTTCAGAATAATATATTCCGTTCTAATTGTGGCACTTCTAATGCCTGTAGATTTCCTTCACTCCTCATGACTCACATGAAATAGTAAAGAACACAAAACCTAGGTAATCCAATGAGAATATGATAGAAAACACTTGGAATTATTCTGTGAAGTATGAATTTTGGTGTGGTTTCTGTACTAGAAATTAATAAACTGTATTTGGATGTCTGAAATAAATTGCAATTAAGCAAGGAGTAGGATGATGGATGTAGTACATTCATGACAAGATTACATTTTGGTGATGTGGATTTTGAGACTTGCTTTAAAATAATGGGGTGGGAAGGTTTAAGATACAGACAAAGCAAAATTAGGCCACAAATTGATTGATTGTATTATCTCCTCTATAATAGTAAGTTAAAAAACTTTGCATTTTGCAGAGTTCAGGTTTACAAAACATTTATCAATTCTTACAGTCACTTGTTGATTTAACTAAAACAAAACTACATGCTTAGTCCTTTAAACATTGTAAATATTTTCAGAGAGGAAGAGTAGAAGATGTTGTTGTTAGTGATGAATGCAGAGGAAAGCAGCTTGGCAAATTGTAAGTAGGCAGAAACAAGGTAACCCTGGATAAATTAGATACTCTTTGTGTTTCAGTTTACAGTTTCTTGCAAGATACTTTTTTAAAAGTGTTTTACTGTTTGAAGTTTTTTAAGCATCATTAATTATGAACTCATTCTCACTCCATAGCTTAGACTGAATTTAATGAAGAAATAAGGTATTTTTATATAATTTTTACCATAAAGTTGGAAATTGGAAGTGTACTGTTAAAACAGCAACACCTTAGTTATTAACTTTTAATAGTAGTACTTTTTTTTTTTTTTTTGCGGTACGCGGGCCTCTCACTGTTGTGGCCTCTCCCGTTGCGGAAGCACAGGCTCCGGACGCGCAGGCTCAGTGGCCATGGCTCACGGGCCCAGCCGCTCCGTGGCAGGTGGGATCTTCCCGGACTGGGGCACGAACCCATGTCCCCTGCATTGGCAGGCGGACTCTCAACCACTGCGCCACCAGGGAAGCCCCAGTAGTACTCTTATAGTAGTAGGAAACAGAAACTTTTGGTGAGCCAAGTAATTTGTCCGTTTCTCTGTCATATTTAAAAACAAAGGAAATGTTCTCAGTTACAAAGTTTTAGAAGCATGTACTGAAACAGCCTTCACAGTGTAATCCTCTATACATTTATCTAAATCTTTTAAAGTAAGTTTCATAGGTTTATTGCTTATTTATAAAATAGAACTTGCTTTTTAATATTATCCCTTCTGAGTTTTAAGGAATTCACTCAGTAAATATTAAGCACCTGCTATATGCCAGATACTATTCAAGGTCTTTGGTATACATCAGTGAATGAAAGAGACCAATTTTTAGTATTTCTAGTCCATGTAACTTAGTCATGCCTTTTATAATTGTGTAACTTCAATCAAGAGGTTCTGTCTTCAGAATAAGATTTTTCAATCTATACAACGTGAGAAAACCCTTCAGGTAAATTTTTGTAGATCTTTCCTAGTTTTTATAAAGATGTATACATTTTTGCTTTGTTTACACTTGTTATACTTGTTTACACTTGTTACAACCAATCCAGAGTTAACCTAATACATTCTTTCACAAATATTTAAGTAACTTTAAAAATGATAAAGAACAAAGCAATTATTTACCCATTTTATGTTGGCTATTCCTAAATAGTTTGAATAGATCTAGAGAAAAAGATTAATTTTGGCCATATTTTTAAAAAGGTTTCTAGTCTTTGGTGTTAATATTAATGTTAAAACCTATTTTTAAAGAGGGTTTAGGGTGAGTTCAGGGTTTAGGATAATATTTGTTCTATTTATTAATGGGCTGGAGATTACTAAAGTATATTTGAAACAAAATCAAATGCTTTGGGTGATTTAAATGTTTAACCACTTACAATTTGAATGTTTAAATGAATATAGTGGGAAGGGCCATGATCTAATAAACCTATTTGTAATAAAAACTTGAAGTTTTATGTGATATTCACTCACATTGTTACTAAAATCCATTTTTATTAACAAATGCTCTATGCCTTGCCTACCTTTTTTTTCTTTAATTTCAGGTTATTATCAACCCTTACTTTGCTAAGCAAGAAATTGAACTGTTATAAGATTACCCTCGAATGTCTACCACAAAACGCTGGTTTCTATAAAAAGTTTGGATATACAGTATCTGAAGAAAACTACATGTGTCAGAGGTTTCTAAAGTAAAACCTTTTAAGAAAGACATCTGTCAAAGGAGCTGATGCAACAAGGCTACACTCTCTTCCTAGAGTTAAAGTATTTTGTTGCCGCAACCCAGTGACCTCCAATAAATACTGGATTGAAAAAAACACTGTAATACAAGTATAATGACATTTAGAAGATTACTTTGGGCTGGTGAGACATGCTGAGTTTAGATTACAGATGAAATTGTTAAGGGGATGATTTTTAACCAAAGGAGTATATTTTTAACTTGAATCTTTTCTTGCATTGTATTTTTCTAAAGTTCGGCTTTATTTCTTAGTAGTCAGTATAGGTAGTAAGAAGTTATATGTCTGCCATCTGTACTGCTCATTAAAAAAAAAAAAGCATACAGTGAATAAGGCTGTTTCTTATCACATTCATAAAATTAATATTTTTTTCAAAGAAATATATCTAAATACCACTTAGGGGTGTATCATTTCACATATATTACGTGAAATTGGATGTTAGACATATTATAACTAAATGTAGTTCAGTCCAACATTTGCTGATCCTAATACTATACTGGCAAACCTGGTGAGCCTTTAAAATAAGGAGAAATGAAAATTAACTTCTTATAAAATGTGACAATTTAAATGTAAATCTAAAAGTTGATATAATTCTAATGTAGCTGAAGTACCACCTGTCTTATATGTGAAATGTAATAATTATTCATTTGTTTAAAATATCTAAGAGAAATATAAGGTACTTTTTAACAGTGAATTAGTAAATCCTGGCATATTATGTATTTCTAAGCTGATTTCTCATTTTTCCAGGGGTGTCCGAGCCTCTCTTCTGAGTAACATTTTTATGAAAATGGATTACAAAATTGAGTGGAGTACTTTAAAATGTATCATACTGCATTTATTACATTCTTAAAATGTTGATGGAAGCTTTTCTATTTAATGTGATTATAATGGTACTATTCTGGTCACTATCCTATTTTGATTTTATTTATTTTAATTATTTTTTTTAAGTTGAAATAAGAATTAGATACTTCACTACTGGTTCGAATCTTTTACATTTCATGTTACATTAAACCTGTTCATATGAATAGTCTTTTGTTAGAATCTAAATGTTTTCTGTGCTTTTCTTGAGTTGTCTATTGAATTATTAGGTCAAGTCATGGTTCATAAAATCTTAGTTTTGTGTACCTTTTGTAAAAGGAGCTTAGAAAGTAAAGAGCACCTGTTTCTCATCCCTTTGATTCTCACCTACCTCAACTAGATTTCAGACTTCCCTCCATGCAGTAAAGCTAAAGTCGGCTTTCTAAAACAACAGAAATTCTTCACCAACACAGGGTGTACTACTCACCTGCTGATGATATAGGCAGATGAATTGATCTGTCCCTAGTGAAAGCAACAAAGCTAAGTTTTGCTTTTTTAGGAGTCCTATAACCTTGATAACACCAGCTGTACTAGGTACAGTCTGGTAATTTAAAACCTCTGTTAACAAATAAACCTAATAGGGACTTCCCTGGTGGTCCAGTGGTTAAGATTCTGCACTCCCACTGCAGGGGGCATGGGTTCGATCCCTGGTTGGGGAACTAAGATCCCGCATGCTGTGCTGCATGGCCAGGAAAAAAACACCACCAAAAAAAACCCTAATAAAAGGCAAAATTAAATGCTTTATTTCATTTCTTACCACTGAACAATTTGAAGTAAAACTATAAGGTGGCTATTTCAATAAATCCCTTTAAATAGTGTTCTTAAGGTCTTATCTTAAATCCCCCCCTACAGGAAATAGAGTTGTAGGTAAGGTGTAATACATAAAAATTGTGTCATTGAGGAAACTGATGATCTGTATTTAGCTTTAGTTAACCAGAGAAATTTGATTTTTCTAAGCCATTTTGTGGGTAAAATTGAGTATGAAAAAAACTGCATAGAACATTTCAATATATACACTTTTGAGCATTGTTTACTTTTGAAAAGGTATAACGAAGTGGCAATTGTGATTTTTATTTTGCTCCATGTATTTTATATATTTGTATTTCACGGACTCTCAAGCACTTTTTTTTTCTTTTTTACATGTAACATTTGGAAATGTGGATGTAGTTTATGATCAGTGGATTGTCTTAGTTTATTCAGCAATATTTTTTGCCTTTTAGTAGGATCAAAAAGATGGTGTAGAGATGCTAATGATGATGTCTTAGATTTGATGAAGAATATTATGTAGGTAGGCTAACAAGGGGAAAACTAAAAGCAAAAAGTATTTTTTTTAATGAGCTGGACGCTGTTCTATGGATGTGGCCTTACCCTTTCCTTCATTCACAAATTTCCTCACTTTCAACTCCAAACTTGTTCAACTAATTGTTTAAAATATACTTGAGCTGGGGCTCCCCTGGTGGCACAGTGGTTGAGAGTCTGCCTGCCGATGCAGGGGACATGGGTTCGTGCCCCGGTCCGGGAAGATCTCACATGCCACGGAGCGGCTAGGCCTGTGAGCCATGGGCGCTAAGCTTGCGCGTCCGGAGCCTGTGCTCCGCCACGGGAGAGGCCACAACAGTGAGAGGCCCGCGTACCACCCCCCAAAAAATATATATACTTGAGCTGAAACTTGGGCCTTCCCTGTACTGACCATAATTTTTATGTGTGATCACAATGTTTTAGAAAATACTCTTAAGTGCTTCTCAATATCCAATGTTCATTCATCCTTCTTAATCTGTGTGGGACTAAAATTGTGTTACTTTTACCTAGAAGACAACAATCTAAGTAAAGAGGTTCTGAGGCATAAGCAGTATAAATGAGCTTTTCAATCTTTTTGAGGTATAATGGCACACCAGTTTTAATACAACCACCAATCTTCACAAAATAATTTTAATACTTTGTGCCTGAGCTAGCAGCATCTTGCACTGTGACATTCCTATACATACATAAGCATTTGATCCAAGTACAGATGTTAAAAGCAGAGTAACTTAAGCAATTGTCTGTACAAAGGTAAATAGACACTGTAGGTTATTTTTCTTTGTGAATTATTTTTGCTGCATAGTAAATTGCAATTACATGTCAGTATAATGTTACTGATCTACAAAATACACTTTGAACTGTGAGGTATGGCAACTCCCTATGAGAGAGAGCTAGCATGTAAACCTGAATATTTTGAGTGATTTTTTTTTTTTTTAGCTGCCATGGATGGATAAGACAAAAAAAAATCCAGCATTCAAAGACCCTAGAAACTTATTTTTCTAATCAATAAAAAAAAAAAAAATCTTTTAGTAATTTTCAGCTATTTCCTATCATTTACCTATTGGAGCACTGATGAATGGACAAAATAAATATTGAAGTGAAGCTAAGTTTGTTATGGAATTATGGATTAAACAGTTATCTGAAAAAAAAAAGTCTGCCAGGTAACTGCTCATTTACTTTACATCAAGTTGAGATTTTGATATATATCTCTATATATGTATCCCAACTTTATAATTCAAGATTGCAGTTAAATACTTCTAATTCATTTAAATTACCATGGTAATAAGACAATTATAAACCTTATATTTTCTTTAAAAGGACATGCTTAACATTTTCTGACATTACTTCTAAACTCAGATGAAGCACAAAATCCTCCCAAAACAAATAGTCTGCTCTGAAAGTTAGATGGTTGAGAGTTGGTAGCAAAGGGTATCATGGTTTAATACTTCCACCACAGAGTAGATACAAATAAACAAAGGTAACTGCTGTTTAAACATCTGGTAAGAAATTAACAGGAACCAATGGACTGAAATTACAAGGTAAGAATACTGCCCTTCCAGTTTGAATATTTTCAATATTGAAGTTTCATACTTTCAAAATGGAAAATAAAGCAGTTCTCCTATGTTTTGATGCAATATCATTTTAAATTCTGTGCCCAGGTTAATATTTAATGTTTAAAATTGGGTGCTGGGTCACTCATACATTACCCAAATATTCTAGAAAATAAATTATGATTGGTTAAATGTACTGTAGTTAGCTATCACAAAACATCAGTGGAAACAGAGGAATTATAGAAATGGAACAAAACAGAAGAATAGGAAGAGCTACCAGAAGAACTAGTTGAACACTGGGTGGAAGAATGAAATCAAGATAAAACAAACTTGCAGTATTCTTACAGAAAGAATAAACTTTTTGTCCATATTAATTTGTACTCAAGAAGATGACAGTCCTTTTTTCTAGTGTTTGTGAGAGTCTTTAATATACAGTGCTGGGCAGGCACTTTAGTGCCAACATAAAAATTTCAGTGGTTAGAAAAAGTGGAAAATTACCAACTGTAAATTAATAACCAAACCTGTACTCTTGGCCAGACTACTAGAGAGGATATGTGTATTTAAGAAATTAATTTAGAAAATGTTAACTGCCTCATTTTTAAAACCTAAATGGACTATTACGAAGATTCTTTTAAGCCGTTTTTGTGGAATGAAGCATCACAGATTATTAAGTTTGCAAAAGAGATCTTTGCTGACCTAACCAATAATGATCTATATACAGGAAAGCTGTATTATCTGGCACTTCACCAGCTGGAATTTCTGAACACTCAATGCAAATCTTGACTATACTAGACCACCACACCCAATGACCTAATCACAACAGAATACAAGACTACAATGGGATTGACAATAATGCTGTTATTTTACGGTGGTAAAATAAGGAAGGGAAGGGAAATAAGAAGAGGAATACCACCTGGGGCAGCAGAATTAACGCTTAATTAACAAAGCAGTTTTGATTCACTGCCACTCTCCTGCTCTGCTGGATAAAAAAGCTTTTACTGTATTATTACACGTTAGGGAGGAAAGCGAAGTAGGTAACTTGCTACCTTACAAGTCCCATCAGTAAAGCACCTCAAGAGAGGACTGAGAAAAGTGAGATACAAAGGAGTTTTGTTTGTGCTACCCTAAATCACCAACTATAAAAAGTTAAAAACACTCCTCTCCTCCCCAACATCATACTTAAAATAGCAAAAATGTTTTTCTTAGAACAATTTTTATATGTATAAATAAAAACATGGAGAACCTAGGATCCCTAAAGTGACTTTGCTAATGCAAATTATGGGGGAAATTTGGATTAATGCAATGCCAAGAACTGATTACAACACTAATGTATAATACACTGAAGTCTCCCACAATCACTTTTCCCCAATAAATGCATCCTCAAAGAAAAGCATTTCTCTGAGCCAGAACAATCTCACAGAATCATTAAGAAAACGTAAGAATGGAGTAAATGCTCCATATTCCAAATAATTTACTAAGGTTTCTTCAAGCCTTAAGACTTTCAGTTTGAACTAATTTATGGTTTAAAAAAAATTACAGAAAAACGTTCAAAACTTTTCACTGTTCTACATACTAATTTAGAGGACGTGAGGATTTATTTTTTATATTTTCTAATGAGGCAAGGCACTTTTCTTTTTTGGGCTTTGTTTAGGAAAAAAATAGTGCTACACTGGTTTATTATATTCTATTTAGAACCATTTTGGACAAAGAAAAAACAGGCTACACAACTCAAAAGAACAAACACAACATTTGGCTTTTAAGAATGCTAAAGGAAAGTCACTTGAGTTTAAAACTCTCCTTGTTTTTGAGCATCTGGTATTATAAAGCGAAACATTTTCCTTTGTTCATTAAACTTTTTTTTCTATAGGATAAAATTAGGAAGGTAGTAGGAAAAGAAGCAATACTTGGATCATGTTAAAGTAAGGACAGATGGCTAATGTCATGATTTAAAGATTATTAAGATGGGATCAAGAAGTTTAAAAAAACTAAAAGATAATTAAGCTATTGAATTATATTAAAAAGAAATGTGGCAGATTCCTGCATTTGTTAATGTTTCTGTAAGAGGCTCCATCATAAAATTGAACTGTAAAATTATTTTTAAAATGTAATACGTAAAACAAAATGAATTTTTAGCAAACTTTAGGAAATTCTTTTGTTATAAATTACCCAGATTTTATAAACAAGTCCCCCCTAACTTGCATTTTGTTTAAAGTAACAACTTTATATCATACAAATAAATTTCAAGTATGAAAAGTGCATTATTGCAATAATACCTCTTTGCAAGTCCAAAATTCTTTGTTTATAATAAAACTGTAAAGAATTAAAAAAAAAAAAAAGGAATAAAACCATCAGTGCCATCTATTGCAGAAGTCCGACATCTTAAAATGTTGCTCAACAAGTTGCAGAGAAACATGTCTGGAAGCAACATATAAGTGAAAAGAAACTACTTGTGTTTTTACCAT